GCAATTTTTATAAACAGTGTCCAAGTTCAATTCTTTCCCTCAAGATATATAAAGTAGTTTGTTTTTGAAAAACAAACAAACAAACAATTAAATTTATTTGAATTTTGACACTAAAAAATGTTAATCATGCAAGAGTGTTTGGGTGTGCTAGTGGCCCCTTCACAAAAGATTTAGTGGCATATTATTAAAGATTGCTCTTTTGCTACTTAATTCCTAAGTAGCTGAAAAAATGATCAAAGAAGATCTGAATAAATCAGATATGACCATACCGGTTTTTTATTACTCCCATGTGAAGAGTTAGAACTGAAAGTTGAGACAATGAAATCATCTCAAAATATTCAAAACTATCTACATCAGTTAAATATAATTTTTTCATTAAAGTGCGTTCATAAACTGAAGAATTCATACATTGGACAGGAAGCCGATTAAATCTACCTCAAGCATGGCTGCCATCTTGTGGGGACAGAATATAACGTGTGAGGGGCCAGTCTGGAAGAGCGCCCCTGTTGGAGGTCATGTCCTCATTTAACCTCTGTCCACCAACTGCTCGCTTGTTATTAATATTCCCCTTGAAATGCAGCATCAAGATCCAAACAGAAAAGATTCAGTTCTTTGCCTAACTGAAATTTTACTCTTAAAATGTGTTCATTATCTCACTATAGGAGTAATGAAAACACTTTGACGCCCTAAGCTTTCAGTTGGATTGACTTTCATAACCAATACGTTTGAGTTTGGTTAACTGCTCCTATTTTCTTTTTTTTTTTTTTTTTTTTCCATTTTTTTTCCCTTTATTTTATTTTATTTTTTTTAAAGTTGTAGATTTACAATTTTTTGTGCTTTGGTTTCAATTATACAATGATCAGATACCCATCCCTCCACCAGTGCCCATTTTCCACCACCATGGATAATATCCCCCCCACCCCCATCCCCCCATCCCCTCTACCTCTGTGGCAGGGCAATCCCCTGTGTTCTCTCTCTCCTTTTGGGTGTTGTGGTCTGCAAAAGAGGCATTGAGTGGCAAACATGTTCAGTCCATAGTCTACTTTCCACATGCATCTCCCCTCCTGGGAGGATCCTCCAAACATCCTTTATTTGGTGCTCCCTTCTCTACCTGAACTGCCCTTTCCTCTAGGATACCCGGCTGGCCTCTAAGTTATGGAGTAATCCTCCTGGTAACTGCTCCTATTTTCAAAGTGACAAATCTAGTTGTAAACTTTGGTTGGAATTTTTACCTCATTGAGTTAGGAAAAAAGCAAAAAAAAAAAAAAACAATGCCTTCACAACTCAGCCTTAGAAATTTGGAGAAAGATTTTCAAGAGTAAAAGGGTATGTATTAAGGAAAGAATGAAGGAAGGGAGTGACAAAGTGAAGGAAGAAGATCATTATCAAAGATGATATTTACATAAATAATATTATAGGGTAGAAAATGATGAATCCGTGCAAAGTTAACCTTTTAAAAAAAGAGGGGGACAAATTAGAGCCTGTGTTAGAATGTTACATAAACTTATGAGCTTTAATGATTTTCTGGAGCAGATTAAAACCCCAAAAAAAGATGTACTTTCTAAGTCTTTCACCCAAATAAATATCAGTATAAAGTTCGTTTTCTAGAAAACCAGGGAATTTGAATAGGTGAGGTCTGAACTTAACTCCAGCTCTGAACCCCTTCAATATGCTATGGATAAAAGCTATTATTTCAGCCCCCCAACAAAAAATCGTATTTATTTATAATTATAGCTATATAATTATTGTCATATGTATTTCTCTGGCAATTATAAACTTTCAGTCATATACTACAATTACCTATGTAAGTAACAGTTTCTATACCCTTGAAGTTTTTCTCTTTTACATGTTAAACTTGATAGGATCTTTTGAGAATGAACCATATTTATAAAACTAAGGATAAAATTATGGTGAATTAGAAGTGATAAAAATACAATGAATGCAATTTTTTTCTTTGCTATTATCTTCAAACCTAAAATTAAACTGTATGGACCCCTTAGCACCACGGGGAGGTATCTTGAGCACAGAGTAAGGAATAGGAGTAGGCCCTGAGCACTGCCGAGCATAGGGCAAAATCAAAAACAAACATAAAAGAGGAATACAATTATATTTTTCAAAAATTTTCTATTACATTGTTTTCTTTAGAGCCCATTGTATAAGATTCAAGGAACTTGTACCTGTGTATGCCCATCAGATGAAAATAAAGACTTCTTTGCAATTTTTTTTCCTATACAATGTAATCATTACACTTTAACATTTAGGGTTACTTAGACTACTACTATTTTTTCAAGTTTTGGGGAGGTTGGCATACCTTCCGATATTCAGGGGTTACTCCTAGCCCTGTACTCAGGAATTACTCCCAATGGTGCTCAGGGGACCACTTGGGATGCCAGGGATCAAACTGGGGTCGGTTACCTGCAAGGCAAGTGCTCTACCTGCTGTGCCATCTCTCTGGCCTCTATTTTTATCTTTTTTTTTAAAAAAAAAAAAAGTCTGTATTACAAGTAATGACTGAATAAAGTTCCAGTCTCCTCATAAGAAAAACAAATTTACGAATGGGAATTCACTTGTACGTTTATTCCAAAAGTTAATACTTAATTTTTAAAAGGTAAATAGATAGTCTCTCTATGCTAGACTATTCCAAAATTTAATTCTAGTGAAGTAAGTCATACCATTTCCATATGCAAAAAATTGGATTAACACTAAGTAACCTTACTTGGCTTTCCTCAAACCCAAAGTATAATATTCACAAATTATAGTGAATTTTTCATTTTTCTCTCTGGAATTTAACATTTAACACATCCCAAAGCTTTGTATCCAGTGACCTAAATATTGTATCACAACGTGCAATTTTCGACAGCTCCCACATAATCTAAAAATGTGTTTAAAAGAAAACATTAATAAAAACCTTTGGGCAGGGAAACCATTGGATCGTCAACAAAATTGGCATCCTCAAGTTGAAAACAAGCAAGCCATTGTTATCTTTTAAATTTTGTGTTAACTTTCTTCTGCTACTTTTTGAGAAGCTCCATCTTTCATCAGCTCATCTGGCTCTTCCTAGAGGTGGGAAGAGTTGTGGTGTTTTCACTGTTCCTCACTCAGTCATTTAAGTGATGGGGCAGAGAAGGAGTTCTCTTAGCCTATTACTGAACACTTAGAATCATCTCTAGAAAATTTCCTATGAGTTGGGCAAGTCCAAGAGCCCAACAACTTTTAATTAGTCTGAAGTGGTATTTTGGAGAAGTTCTTCCATTTATTTCAAAGTAAAGAAGCAATAAGCAGGAGGACTTGGAAATCATGAAAACGTGCTCATAATGCTCTAGAATGGTTGTCCAAGAGAGAAAAGAGCATGGAGCCATGCTAAGCCATCTCCAGGAATGAGCCCTAGGCAAGCTAACCTCGCCAAACTCCTCCTAAGATTTCTTTCTGCATTAGGGGTATTTTGCAACTTGTTTTCCTTGATGGATACATCCACTGTGACTAACCAATTGATGCCCCAATGAAGAATACAGTAAAAGCATGTGTTAAGGGAAAACACCCATTCTTTCACAGACTTCATTATAGCAACGTAGTATAAGACATACAATTGTCTCAAAACTCCCTCAAAAGAAAAATGGCCCGCACCCGTAGCATAGATAGGTGCTTATGTGTACTGATGGAACACTTGATAAAGTACCAACAAAACTGGTTTTGATCAGGTCTAGCTTCCCGGAAGACCTGGTTTATACCAGATTCAGAAGGAAGTGGTGAGATGTCTCCAAAGGGACCTTTATGACAAATGTTGCTCTAAATAAGATGGGAATATGCCCTAAAATGTTAGTAACTCCAGTCTGGTAGCATTTGGCAATCCAAATCAGATTTAATTCTATTTGACCCCCCAGGAAGGGTGTGATCTGAGAACCCATAAAGGGGTGGATTCAGGCTATGCCAACGGTCTGGCTACAGTTTGACTGGCAACAAGAAACTCCAACAAAAATTCTGAAGAGTCCTAGGAGATTGATTTAATTCTGAAGTGTCCTAGGAGATTGATTTGGGTGCGCGCACGCTCTTTGCAACGGAGCCCATGGCCTAAGTGACAGTAGTGCAGCACGGTTTCTGGAATGTTCCGGGAAAGTGCACAAGCTATACCAAAGAAGGCATTTCACAGAGGAGATAATATACGATTGTGTTTGGAGAAATAACAGAGCGATTCACCAGGCTAAAGGGAGCCTCCAGTGGGGAAGTTAGGGAAGGGACCAAAAAAAAAAAAAATAATTAAAAAAATAAAGGAACTGGTCAAACTTGAGGGTAATCAGGCTCCTGAGAGGTGGCCTGACTTTCCTATATTGCAAGCACGGAGTTTCCAAGGGGCTTGCAAATGTCCTTTAACTAAGAGGAGGACTTGCCATCCCGACCGCGCTGGGTCTGGTGCGCAGTGGTGGGCAGCCTGGCACTGGTGGCGGGTGGCAGAAAGGAGGTCCCAGTCTCGGGCTTTATTGTCTGCGGCTGGCTGGCAGCAACCCCTTTCATTCCTTCCTTCATTCCGGCACTGAGACTGTCATTCAGTGCTGCTGAGTCCCCTCTTCCGGGGCGCCGCAATCCATCCCTCCTTCTCCCGAACGGAACGCACAACGCACGGCTGGGCTCCAAGCCTGCGCGCACCCTCCCCATTCCAGTGTCCACCTGCGTTTTATTCCCGTTATTCCATTGCTAATTCGGGGGGGGGGGGGGGGGCTTTCTTATTCTTATTCTTTCTCCATCTCCATTGCCTAATAAAAAAAATAAAATAAATGAATAAATAAATAAATAAATAATTTTTTTTTTAAAAAAAGGCACCGGAGACGCGGAGGGCGGTGGGGGGTGGGGGCCGGCGTGGAAAGAGGTAATGAGCACGGCGTCTCCTTTTTATAACTTTCTAATTGGAACCTCATTAAAAGCTTTCTAGGTCCGTTTTCCCCGAGTGCCCGGGTGTCCCCGATTCTCCTCCCCAAGGCGACTCCAGCGCTGGGCGAGCACCGCAGGCGGGGGAGGCGCAGAGAGGCGAAGTCGGGGACCTGTTGGCGGGGAGCAAGGTTAAATAAGTGGGGAGGCTTTTTCCCGGCTGCTTTTCACCTCCTGGAGGGGGAAGGAAAAAAAAAAAGGCAAAAAAAAAAAAAAGGCCGTGGCGCGCCGGGGGCGGGGTGGTCAGCGCGCGGCGCGAGCGCGGGTGGCGGCGGGCACGGCGCGGGGCTCCCGCCGCAGACCCGGCGGCTGGGCTGTCGCGGGGCCGGGCCGGAGCGGGCCGGGCCGGGCCGGGCCGGGGGCGCGGCGGGGCGCGGCGGCGGCCGTCGGGGCGCGCGGGGGCGCGCGGGGGAGGGGCGCGGGGGGTGGGCGCGGGCGGGCGGGCGGGCGGGCGCGGGGACCCGCCGCGGAACTGCCGGCAAGTCGGGGCGCTGCCCGCTCGCCCCAGCCAGGGACGCGGCCGGGCCGGGACCCGCCAACGCCGCCGCCGCCGCCGCCGCCGCGCGCCGCGCCTGACGCCCCCCGGACCCGCGCCGCGCCCGCCGGGGACCCCCGCGCCCCCCGCGCCGACATGGAAGTTTTCCCCTGGCTGCTGCTGCTGGTCCTCGGCTGCCTCCGGACCTGGCGCTGCGCGGGCGCCGACTCCATCATCCACATCGGTAAGCGCCCCCACCCCGGGGACCCGCGCGACCCCCGCCCGCCGCCCCCCGGGGCCCCCGGCGCGACCCCCGATCGATCGCCCCTCTGCCCGGACCCCGGTCCCCGACACCCCACCACCTCCCACCCCGGTTCCCGACCCCCCATCTCCGACCCCCGTCCCCGACCCCCCGCCGTGCGCAGCGCCCGGTCCCGACCCCCGTCCCCGACCCCCGTCTTAGACCCCGGCCCCGACCCCGGCCCGCGCCCCGCGCCGGCCCCCCGACCCCCCTCCGGACTCCGGGCGCTGCGCGCGCGGGGAAGTTTCCTGCTCTCCCTCCTCCCCTGTCCTCCCTCTGCGCCCCGAAAACGCGCTCTCGGGGGGCTGGCGGGGGTCCGGGCGGCGGGGTCACCTGCCGGGCGGCCGGAGCCGCGGCGGGGGCCGTGCGCGCGCGTGTGCGGGCGCGCGTGTGTGCGCGCGTGTGTGCAGGCGGGTGCGTGTGCGTGTGCGCGCGCGAGTGTGTCCGCGTGTGCGCGCGTGCCGGGGTGCCGGGGGTCCCCCCTTTCGGAGCGAACAGGTGGTTCGGGCACCGCGAGCGGCCGCCGGTGGCCGCGGCCCGGCCGGCGAGGTCGGCGGAGGCGCCTGGGCGCGGGCGGGGGCGCGGGCCGGCTGGACGCGGGGGGACGCGGGTGGGCGCGGGGCGACGCGGGGGGACACTGGCGGCCGGTGCCGGCTCGGCTCGGCTGCGGGGCTCTGGGCCCAGGAGGTTCGGGGCCGGGCGCGCGGCCTGGCGCGGCGGGGCTGGGGTCGCCCCGTTGCGGGATCGGGCCGGGCCGGACTGGGCCGGGCCGGGCTGGGCTCGCCGCTCCGGGCTGCAACTCTCGCGGCTCCCCCGGGCCGGGCCGGGCCGAGCCCAGACGCTGCCCGGCCAAGGCTGCGCCACCGCGGGGCGCACGGCGAGGCGAGCTGCCCGCGCCGGGAACCGGCCGCCTCGCGGGGGACGCGCTCCCCGCCGCACCGGGCTCGCAGCCCCGCGCTGGCCGCGGTTCCAGGCTCTGCGCTGCCCCGGGCTTGCAGCTCTGCGCTGCCCCGGGTCCAGGTTCTGCGCTGGTCCCGGCTCGCAGCTCTGGGCTGGCCAGGTTCCCGGCTCTGTTCTGACCCGGGCTTGCAGCTCTGGGCTGGCCCCGGCTCGCGGCTCTGCACTGGCCCTGGGCATGCAGTTACGCGCTGCCCCGGCTGCACTCTGCACATGCCCCGCACAGATGGGGCGCAGCGTGTCCCCGGCCGCCCCCCTGCACACGCACACGCACACGCACACGCGCGCGCGCACACCTGCGTGCAGGGCTGCTGTCCGCGGCCAGCAAAGGCCGAGCGGCTGGAGCGCTGGGGGTTCTGTCCCGCCGGGAGCTGCCCCCCGGGGGACTCCCTCTCTGCGGCTGCAGAAGGACTTGGTAAACATGCACATGTCTGCTGCTCCCTCCAGTTTCACGGGGAAAAAAAAACACGCACACAGGCACACGGAGATACTGTGCACACGCACAGATGTTCATGCACACGGAGATGCCCAGGCACACGGGGAAGGCTCGTGCACACGCGCAGATGCTCGTGCACACGAGGATGCTCAGACACCCGGAGATGCTCGTGCCCACGGAGATGCTCAGGCACCCGGAGATGCTCGGGCACACGCGCAGACGCTCGTGCACACGCGCAGATGCGCAAGGCACCCGGGGATGCTCGTGCCCACGGGGATGCGCAGGCACCCGGAGATGCTCCTCGGGCACACGCGCAGTTGCTCGTGCACAGGTGCAGCGGGCAATACGCGCCGGCATCCACCAAGTCTTGCTTTCGGGCAGGAAGTCGATTTCGGGCACGGCTGGATCACGTTCTGTCTGCAGCCTCGCAGTGCCTGCGGCTGCAGAACTTTTCCGGGAGAAATGCTGGTGGCATCAGGGCTTTTGGGCAGTGTCTGAGAGAGAGTTCAGAACAGCCCCGCTCCTCTGAAAGAAGGGCCCGGCGTGTGTTTCGGTGGCGCTGTCCCTGGCGGGAACAGCGAAGCAACTCTGTGTTAACCCGGTGCATTGACATTTCTTTTCAGAGGGGCTGGTAGGCTCCTTCCTTGTGGAGAGATGTCCTTTGATTGCTTATTCTATTGGTTCCACCATGAATAATCCGTTATTTACAAACACCTACCGACTCTTGATAGCCTATATCCCATAAATTCTAGCTTGCAGTGAGGTCTGGTCTGGACACTTGTTTCGAGACTGACCAGAACTGTTGCATTGTTTTTTCCCTTTGACTTTGTTGTCTGTCAGTGTTTATTTATAAGCAGACCCAAAAAACGCGTCTGAAAATGAGAGCTTGCTTTAGAAAGCAGGTGTAATGCATTCGCAGTGCATTTCCTACTCAAATAAATGGCTACTTCTCAGGCTATTAACTTGGCTTTAGACAATAGCATTACTTATTTTATCAACTACTTCATATTGTCATGAAGTTTGCAGAGTGGTTGATTTGAGATACTCCAAATCTTTTTGAAGTGTTAGTGCTTAAATATTTTAGTTCAGAAGCTGACCTGCTTCCACCCTGACCTCCGCAAAAGCATAATCAATGAAAAACTTTCATTCGAAATAAATTCAATGCCCCCACTAAAATTTTAAAGCACAGGGGTACACTATGCCTTGGATTAGTTTACTAGGCTGAGAGGAAAATAGGAGTGATAGTTCTTTATGAGGTGGTCACCTTCATTTCAATGTTCAACGTTGGAAATCCACTTAAGGCCAGTGCCTTGTTTCGGCACTGCAGGCTTGAAAGTGATGAGACTGGAGAGGCCAAGTGAATATTTCAGCTCTTCAGATGGAAGAGATAGGCAGAAATGAAAGGCTCCCCGTTCTCATGTGATGTGCTCCGGCAGAAAGACGCTTCGGTATGTAGTTCAGGCAAACTGGGGAGATGAAAATGACACAGCTCCAATAGGTTCCTTAAATATTGAATCCTTTTTGGTATTGAACCGCAGTATAAGTATGAAAACTGCCGTTTCTTCTCTCTTTGTTTTTTTTTTCAAAGCAGGTAATTCAATAAAGCCAGTTCCAAGCTTTAAAACTAGAATGTCTTATTAAACACATTACTTCACTACAAAAATGAGCTATATTTTCATGGGTTAGGCTGCAGTGATTGCCTGTGAAATATATTTGTTTCAGTGAACTGCATAATACTAATGACTTCGAGTTTCTGTTATGTTTGAAAGGCATTTGATAATGACATAGGTTCATTTAACACACGTGTGTAAAGGCGTACACAGTATTTAGAAATGAATTAGTCCATTGTGATTTTCTTTGCGCCTTCCCACCCCCGAAAGATGTTTGACATATAAAAACTATGCAATTTTGAGTTTTGCTTCTACTTTGGGCCTGTGCATTGATTGAGTAATTTCATCAGACCCACATTACTTGATTGCTTCGAAGTTTCCTAATGATCTGCATGCTGTAGGAAGAACCAAAAAGTCGTGCGTGGAATGGCAATGATATTGTGTTTTCTGAGGCTATTCAGAAGGCGCTCTGATTTATGTCGCTAGAAAGCTCCCAAGTCTTTGGGATTCGCACACTGACTGCTGTTTCCTGCGTGCCTGTGTCCCACACGCTTTACTCCCTAAACACAACAGGAGTTAAAAGCAGTGCTTTAATTAAGCACGGATGAGGTGGCATTTGCAGCCAACTGCACCCTTTGTGTCTTGCTTCATATCTAACATGGAGGATCTCATGTTCTTCGCCGGTTAACGTGTGCTCCTGGCTTTATCTGCTTCTCCTGCTCACAGACCTGATTGGAATTGAGTTGTTCTAAGTTAGGGATCCCTACAAAGGAACCACCCCCCCCCCACCAAAGCCTCTTTGCCCGTGTTGGCCGGTACGTTTGGAAAATGAACGGCATGTTTTGTTGTTGGCAGCAAAAACATTCCGGCAGGAAAGTCAGACGTGAAGAATTTCTTCACGTTTGTTTCCTAAGCAACTGATCATTGATCCTCCGAGATCATAACCATCAACGGTGACCAAGTTTTGAGAAGCTCGAGTCAATTTACAGACTTTTTCATCACAAGAAAGTTTAAGTTAGGATAGAAAGTAAGTGGAGGGATAAAATATGTCATGGCATTAAACATCATGAGAGATATTAAGTTTAATGTCTGTTTTCATTACATCTACACAGAGGACAGTTTTATCAAATACCAATTACATAAGCATTTCTGGAAAAAAAAAGAGCTGTGACTCCTATGAACTTTTTTTTTTTTTCAAATCTTCACTTGATTTGTATTGGTTACCGATAACTCGGAGAAACTATTTTATTGGCCTTTTTTTAAAAATTTTTTTACAGTTGCTTGCTTGCTAAGTTATGTAGGCCCTATAGTAGAAACTTTGGACAGGGTAAGGAGTAACTTCTGGATTTAAACTAAGAGCGGACTTGACTATTTTCTTTGTCAGTCATTTGGTTTCTGAAATCACCGTGCAGATGTGCACGAGCCTAGGCAGTGTTATTAATCAGTGATATCAATTATGACATGACTAATAAGCCATTACCCCGAGGAGCTTTGCTTTTTACTCAAAGTGAAATGTACCTCCAATAAATATCTGCTATAAATTTTTAATTCAAATGTGAATAAAAATCAAGGTGATTAACGTTCCACTATGGAACAATCAAAATCATTGAGATTGTTAGGCATGATGAAAGATGTTTAATTCCAATCTCAAAGGCTAATTTTATCAGACTGTGATTTTACCGCTAAATATATTGTAATTTAAAATCACATTTTTAAATTCAGAATTTTTTTATTCATGCGCATGAGTGCTTTATTTTTTTAAAGTAAGCTATTTGACATTTTTCTATACTAATATGATATTTTATGGTACAGATGCCCATTAGGTATCAATACTTAGTTTTAATACAAATAGTATATTTATTACAAAATATTTTATGGTCCATGAAGATAGCCTTGCCATTAGGTGTCACTGCATTCTGAGTTGCTCCTCTGTAGTCCTT